CAGAAAGCGGTGGTCCTTTCCCTCACGTGAAATCCATAGACTGGCAAATACCATCCCCATTCTCGAGAGAATAAAAACTCTCAACAGGAACTTCACTCTCAAAAACATCAATGGCCCCCCATCTAACACCCAAGATACCCTCAAAAGTTCCTGCATTTTCAGAGGTCATGTAGTAACTCGTATTCCCAAACAAAAACTCCCTCACCCCCCCTCAATCTTGATGCAAACCTGCATTAATGATCTTCCGGAAGACTACTACAATATTCTCGAGGCCACTCCACTTGCCTATCGCCGACCCTAAAACCTTTACCACACACATATCCTATCCTTACCCCGGACAGGGGGAGATTGGTTTTTTGCGGTTTCCCAATCTCACTACTCAATGATACCTGTCCGTCCCTGAGAAAATAGCCGCAACTATTTTCTCACACACACATACATACACAACACACTGACATTCACACAACATTACTCACACACCCCAACAGTGGAAGGGGTCCTCTTTCAAGCTACCGATACACCCTCATCACTGGGACCCCCGACCGCCCGCAGCCTCCGTTACTTTACACGGGGTCTGCGGTCGGCCGGGGTTATCTAGGTGATTCGAGGAGTCAGTAACAACGAAATGGTAGCGTCCGCCACTGTTGGAACACACATACATCCACTTAGAGCGATGTGCGACAAGCCGACTCTCGAAAGCCGAGGCGCCTCCACTCACGAGCACACTCGTCCACAAAACTTCAGTGCAATACACTGGTTTTGGGGCCGGGTTAAGCTCGAGACTGCACAGGACCAATGGTCACTAGAGACCCGACCTTGTCGTACCTAGCTCTAAAACAACAAAACAAGACAAGAAAAGAACCACACTTACACTGACAAACCCTTCACTCTGGTTCTCTTGACTCTGTCTGTCTAACTCCTCCAGGCGAAGAAGGTGCCACAACAACAAAACAACAAAACGGAGAAGATCTTTGCGCCGGGGATTTTTGGGTGCTTGCCTTTGTGCGTGCTATACTACACAAACATCCAACTCAAGCCTGAAGAGGGTCAAACGACCCTAAACGGGTACAATGTAAAATTCTATCCCCACGAAATAAAGTTCCTATACCTATCCCACAAGAATTAACATTGAATCATCATCAAAAATAGATCACTTGAGAAAGGTAATCAGCCGAAACGGCTGTATAGTTAATAATAGTTAAAATAAATTTTGTTGAAGTTTGAAAACAAAGTTTTCAGTGTTTTATTGTTAGATAAACTATTTCTACTTGTTGTTGGTCTACCAGGTCTAATGTGAAGGTTTTTTAATTTGGTAAGGTAAGTAGTCGCGATTTCACGTCGAAAAATCAAATTAGTTGTCCGTCTTCCTGAACAGTTATAAAGTATACACGCATTTTAGACCGCAGCATCAATTAACCATGTAAGTATAGACCAATACCATGTCTTACTATGACTACTTATACCTTATCTTGTTAAATCCTCATCCATTCTATCAGTGCCTCCCATAAACTTGTTATACATTCCAACAACATGTGGGCGTGGAACTTGGACGACTTTTTTTTTTTCAGAATGTGAATAACGTTTCACTTGTTGAATAGGATGCACACCATATAAAGTTGATGCAATTGTTACGACGGCGTTATCCATCCATCTTGTCAACATAAAAGCATCTTCTTTGTCAATTTTTGAAACCAAATAAGCTCGAGTTTGTTTGGACATAGTTGTTTTATCAACAAGTGGAACATCTTGTGGTATTCTGTTCTCTCTTATTGTTCCTGTGACATCATATCCTTCTTCTTTTAAATACACAATTAAATTGAATCCAGTAAAAATGATATCTACATAGATTTGGTAATGCAGCTTTTGTTGTGGCAAAGTGTCCACCATCGAGACAAGGGGAGCGGCTGCCTTTCCAAATGTAAGTTGGTAAAGATCGTTGGAATTGGTACTTTTTCCTTAATAGATCGTAAAATTCACAAGGTAACTAGTCTCGGAGTTAAGGCACCATATTTTATAACCGAATCTTATCGGTTTTCCCCTAATGAATTGTTTACAATTATGGCGGCCGTATTATTTTACCATCTACTCATCATAATTCATATTTTCAGTTGGTTGATAATATTTGAGAAAAGTACTCTGCAGTTTTTTGATTACTGGTCTCAATTTCCACATTTTATCATTTAAAGCCATTTGCGTTTTATCAGCACAGTGCATGAAAAGCATTATTTGGATAAACCTATTTGGATAAATCAGGACAATTCACAAAAAGAGCGTATTTTCTGGTTTCGTCCAAAAAATATGGCCTAGCGTTTCGTTATCGAAAAAAACTCAAATAAATCAGTAGGGTTCATATTTTTAAATTGTGAGTAGTCTGCTTTGGGAAAGTCTGATGTTTTTATAAAATCTCCATCGATCCAAGTTTTTTTAGTATACTTTTTTCTCTTTAATGATTTCAAAAAACTAGTATAAGGTTCTGTATGACGTGGTGTTTGCTCGTCTTCCATCTCATTAAAAACACTAGTCTCTTCTGGGGCATCATCAAAATAATCCAGCTCGTCTTCTGCTAATAATTGTCTTCGGGACAAGTTATCCACAAATCCACCATTATCCTCGTCAGCCGAATCTTCATCAGTCAAAACATTTGGATCAGGTGGACTTCAAACCTCTCCTGTAATTAAACAAATAATTAGATCTCTTATTAACCTAGTGTTACCATTTGGGAACAGTCTGATTCAGTCTCAAGTAAATTTTTTGTTAATGTGCCAGGTTGCCTGCAATGTTTAACACTAAAATTTGGGGAAGGTAATCTGTGCGAATCAAATGTTTTAGATTGTGAAGTTACTTTTTTGAGTGATCTTGTGTGGTGTGTGTTGGTTTTTTCGTGTACTGGAAGATGGGTTTGATTGGTTGGACGTGGTTAGAACAGTTGCTTTGTTTGATATATCGGTTTGGCTCCCTGATGGGGTCCGGACAGAGGAACGCTCAGGGGACGGATCTCCGATCGTTCATTTCACGAACACTTAAAGCAATTACGTTTGAGAGTATTTTCTCTACCACAACCATGGCAGAAGTTACGGGTACGAAAGGTAACGCAATCATAAAAAGTTATCGAAATATTACGTTCATGGCCATTGGATTGCCAAGAACGGTGTATGGAAGTATCTAGGTGAGGTAACAAGGTAAGAAGACCAAGATAAAGTCTCTTCGAAACGTTTACACTTCTATGATATCAACTATACTACTGATCTCTACAGGAGCCAACTGCTGATGATAGAATGGCAATATACCTTTTAGGATGATCTTTATCTTTGCAGAATATGTCAGAGGTGTTTTAAGGTGACTACACATATCTAAAATATTATTTATGAACATCGTAACAGACTCGTTTGCCTTCTGTTTACGATTTTTAATTTGATCTAAAAGGTCGTCTTGAAAAAAATAAGGCAAAAAATCAGACATAAGTTTCTGAGCTAAATCAGACCAATTAGAAAAATTATTGCGGTTATTGAACTACGTAAAAGCTGCACCTAAAACAATTCTGCAGACGCTGCGAAGATCTTGGTTTTTATGTCGCTATCACATCGTAGCTAACATGCAAAAAATAAATGCCTGTGCACTCACAGAACATGCATTAACGTTGAAACATCAATTTAACTTCGAAGATTCCTGTATTTTGGCAAAAGAAAAAACCATTCAAAACGTGTTTTCTTGGAAATGTGTTTCATAAAATCTAGTATGTCTTGCATAAATAAAAAGTCTGACATAGATAAACTGGACAACATTTATTGTTATTTACTGGAAAAACATAAAAAATTAAATAAACATTTACCTCTACATATACACGCCATAATACCTGTATGTATAACATGTTGCATATCATTAAAACAGGTTTATTATACTACATCCATTAATACAACATTAAGGACACCCAATTACATTTTAATCATACTGTTTTTCCTTTCTGTTCTCTATGTATCAGAGTTAAAACACACCATTAAAAGATGTCATAGACTAAGTTTTACTATCCGTACTCAAATTTTAAAAATTTTAGAATGTATTTTGTCCACTATTTTATATTTTATATGTGTGTTATTAATGTTGAGTGTCAAAGCTATTTATATAATCTCAACGACTAGTAAGTTGCACTGACGAATTGTGATATTTTGTAAATATTTACCCATTCTTCTTATTACAGTGTTTTGAAAAAGGAATAAAACAATTCCGAAAGCTAGATCAAAAGTAAAAAGAGTGTTTCTTTAACATCCTGGCGAAACTTCTGACTGCAGCCCTAATTAACTGTGTTGTTTATATATATACGTATATTTTAAATTTTTTAAAAGCTTCTTCAGCTCACTACAAATATTATGAAGAAGTTTATAAGTAAACGCCTACAATGTTGGATTCTTATACTTACAAAAAATAATTTGTAGTTTTTCAGATGTTCTAACTATTGGTTGAACTCGGAATATGGGGTTTGATATAATTTTTATTTATTGTCTAAGATGAGAGAGTGGTTACACTAACTACTAAAAAAACATAAATAAATAAAAACAATTTAAATATTAGTCATTTTATATTGAAAAGTTTTATGTTATTGACTTGAAGTGGTTTTAATTTATTAGTTTAAGAGTTTGCCGTTTTATTTAATTTTCATGTTTTGGTGATTTAATTGCTATAAAATATTCTTTAATTTCGTATGTTGTATTTTTATATTCTCTTGAAATAATAGGAAATATCAGATGATTTGGTTGTATATTTGGTTTAACTGTTTATTTTTGAAATTTTACAATCATTTATTGAGTATATTGAATAGAAAGCTTTGTATATTCCATTATTCACAATTCTTCTTCTTTTTTTAATTAGAAAAATGTGCAAAGTGTTTAGAAATACTAAGGAGTGATAGGAATTTTTATGTTGCATGTTTCCAACCATGTCTCTGTCAACGTATTCCCAAGCTTAGTGAATCGTCTATAATATTTATTTGTTTATTGCTGTTTTAGAAATCATTTAAACGAGATGGACATTTAGACTGGACATCTTATAATATGTTAGTAATGAAAGTAAGGGGAGATGGAAGGTCATATTTGTTAAATATTCATTGTAAAGGATATTATGATCTTACCTGGAATGACATGTACCATTATGTTCTGTTTACAAGAGGTGGACCATATTGGCAAGTAGCAAGGGTAAGATGGTTTTATAATGGACATATATATTAATATTTTTTTCATTTTGTCACATTTCATTGTGTAAAATTTTATTTTATTTTTGATCTTCGGGTATCTACTAGAAATAGTGACTTCCCTGATTCGAATTAATAGAAAATATTTAATTAAATAAAAAGTACTTTATATAAAAATATGCAAGTGACTTAAAAGGTTTTATTGCTATTATTATACTCCCTACTTACAAATGTCATAAATAAGCAAGCGATGACAGCAAGTCGTAAAATTAAATTATTTCAACGTTTTTCGGATTGAGAGATAAAATAAATGCATCACGCTGATTAAGGAATTTTTAAGTAAAAATTAAGTATTTATTGACTGGCCAGTGTTACCACTGTTTGTTAGCGCGTCGAGAATCTTTTAGTTTTCTTTACCTTTTTTGCAAATAATCTTTATTTAATAAATTGATTCTAGATACCTTTCTCAAAATTCTTTTTTGGTTCAAAAGGACGAGTACAGGATATGCAACGCCAAGTACAATTGGATAGAGTTGCTAGTTTTGGAATTACTGCTGGTGAAAGATATGGTGGTGACTTTGCTTTGGAAATAGATTACATAGGTTTGGAGTTTGATCCAAATCATAGGGAAGAATTTGCTTATGAAATGTACAGAACAGATAAGTATATAGCATCAACGTAAAAAGAAGTTGTGAGTATTTTGAAATTTAAATAAATATTTTTATTGTTCATAGTCTTTCATTTTTCAAAAAATATTTGTGACTAAGGTGACCAAATAACAAACTTAAAAAGACAGGACATACCTAATGATGGCTTGGTGGCGATACCCACTAGCTAAAGGGCAGTCAAGAGGGACGTCCGTTGATACATGATAATTGAAAAATGCTCTTTTAGCTAATTTGAGACCTATAAATCTTTTTCAATTTAGCTTTGAATATGTAACTTAATTTAAATTGTGAGGCATATTATAAATAAAAACAACAATTTTGCAGTGAATACTTATTTATTAATACATACTTCAAAATATAATTAAACAAGATAACTAAAATCGTTAGTTAAAGTTGTGTTAAAAATCTTTAGGATTTGAATTGGGAATATTTTTCTTTCATTGCATACATTTTTAAAACTTCTTTTTATCCAATATAAAGTAAAAACTATAACAAATAATTTTTAAATTGTAAAGTACCTGCAATGTTGCAAAAAGAGTATCCACTCCAAAGGAAAATATCCTTTTAGGCCCGATTGTACATTGCAGGCTTAAGCGATCGCTTAATTGAACCGGCCTCAAATTTGAGCGTGGGTTCAACTTCATGAGGGTTGTTCAATGGCAAGTTTAGTTAAACCAAGGTTCATACAAATTTTGATAAGGTTGGCAACGTAACGCATGCGTATTCATATTAAGGTTAAATATCAATTTTCCCGCTAATTTTATATTATTTAGTTTTTGAACGGTTTTTGTGAATACAAGTCCACTAATAATTCTGTTATTTAATATTAGTTTAATTTAATTAACTAGTTTAATTTTTAATCGTTTCCCTAAGTTAAATTTATGAACAAACCATTTGAATACTCACGTAAAGTATATTCTTGCAATATGTTTATTTTCATGTGAAAAATTGTTTTTAGAAGTATATTTTTTATATTTATTGGGATTTTTTATTTTATTAGCAATATTTTGATATAAATAATGAACTGTATCTTTAGATAACCTAAATCTTTGCAAAAATTCATTATCATTCCATTTTTCAAAATGATTCTCTCTGGTCCTAAATTGTTTTTGTGTTCTTCTTACATCTACAATATTTATCATTTCCAGATAATCTTCATCGTCAGTTAAATTTTCAAAGTTTTTCATTTTTTATAATATAACACCACAGTAACAGATAATTATTAAGCTTTCTATGACAATTACAGACAAATAAAAATATGTGAGGTTAAAAATGCCTGAGCTGACGTTGAACCGTCAAACTTCTATCGCTCAGTAGAACCCATGTTTAAACCGAGCTCAAGAATTAAACTTTAGATGTACAACCCACTTCATGCGTTAAACTCGGTAATGGCGCTGAGCTTGAGTTGAGCTACGAATGTACAACCGGGCCATAGTGTTACCGTTATGGACAGGGATCGCAAACACATACTGGTATATCTTCAAAAATTCTGGTATGCATTTTAATACAACAAAGCCATTTTTCATGATTTTTTTATCTTCATCGGTCTATTTATTCACCTTCAAAACCGACTAATGGTACTAGTTGACCAAATAGCAAAGTATCATTTATGTCGATGGTTTTTTCCTTGAAGTAAAAAATAAATTCTTCCCATATCATTCAAAAGCATCCATCTAATCTGAGACATAAAAATCATTTACTTCATTTTTGAAGTTAATTTCGTTAATAATACATCGTTAACTTGCATAACACTTTTTGTACTTTCCTTGTTGAAACATATTGAATTGGTTAAGCTCAAATCATAGGAATGCTTCACTTAAAAGGTTTTAAAAAAATATTACCAAAATGTACGGAGCTATTTTCTCATTTAAAAAGAAATCCTTTATAGCATCAAACAGTTTTAAAATTCGTTCTATTGCAGGCATCAAAGACAGCCAACGAGTTTTTGAACGAGCCGTAAAGTAGTGCCATATTTTGATGTCGACCATTTCACAAAATCTGTTACGCATCTTGCATATAGAAAAATAAGAGGTGAGTTTGACAATAATATCTTTGATGTCACAGCTTCATCTATCTGTTGCTGTACAAATAGAGTTATGTAATACATGTGCAAGGCAACTCACACCTTCAATACCACCATGTAAAATATGGATAGCACCATGGACCGACTCCGTAAGATACAGGAGAAAAATATGAAACAAATGACAAAACTCGAAGAAAAAATTCCGAAAAAGACCAAGAAATACAAAAGCTAATGCAAAACATATTTGGATTAACAGATATAATAGCAGGACTACAAAAGCCGGTAGCAATACCAAATAATAAATCAGTACAAACTGAAAAACAGAAGCAAAATAAAAAAATGACAACAAAAAACAAACACAAATTCAAGAACTGGGAAGACCCAGTACCAGTAAAGGATGTCAGATGGAAACAGAAGAGAACGATGATGCTGACTGCACAATTCAACAAAATCAAAATAGAAAAATAAACAAAGATGCCGAAGAATACTGAAGTAGAAAAACTAAAAAAAAAAAAAAAAATGTTCAAAAGATATATAAAGATATATATAAGCGAAAAGAAGATACTTGCGTACCCAGTGGTATGCTAAGAAAGAGACAAGACAAAGAACATCACAATGAAATGGAAAAGAATATAGAAAAAGGTAAATAAAAAAAGAACATGACCAAACCACCCGTAGTGACGGAAGATGCAACAAACAAAAAAGAAACGCCAAGGAAGGATGCGCCCAAACCCCCGGCTACCATCCTCAAAATCATTGGAAAAAGCCAGGAGATCCTGCAAAATGCTACAGAAAAAGGGATAGGATCATCAAACTAATCATTATACAGACTAGTCACAGAGAATGATACCTTTGCAATGATCAAGATACTCAAAGAATATAGTCAACAGAACCCTATTGAATACATTGCATATCCAATAGACCAAGAGATAACAACAATACTTGTAATTAAAGGATTACACGAAACTACAGAAATGACAAAAATCCACCAAGAACTAAAATATAGAGTAATTGATGGATTCGACCGTAACTTGATGGAAATTCATTTTATGTAACAATAAAACACTGAAAACTTTGTTTTTAAGCTTCCACAAAATTTATTTTAACTTATCACTACAGCTGTTTCGGCTGATTGCCTTTCTCAAGTGATCTATTTTTGGCATGCGTTTACACTTTATAGTCTCTAATGAAATAGGTTGAGGAGGGGAGAACTGTTTGTCTCAATAAGTCATTCAGAATTATGTCTGTGTTTTTTAATTTGTTAATTTCCATAGATTCTAACAAGGATAGCTTAAGGCTTTTATTTTGAATGTAAAGAATTTTAAATTCGTCATTAAAAGAATGATTGTGGTTTAGAAGGTGAAGTGCGTATGTAGACTCTGTTTTTCTATTATTGAAAGCCCTCTTACGTTCTGCTATTCGTTTATTAAAGTTTCTACCAGTTTGACCGATATAAGTTTTTGGGAAGTCGCGACATTTAAGTTTGTACACACCACTGTGTAAGTGTTTTTTATTTTGGCTCTTGTTGTTTTTGATATATTTGCCTAGGTTGTTATTTGTTCGGAAAGCTGGTGTTATTCCTTTCTTTTTTATGTGTTTGGCTAATCAGTCAAAAACTACACAAGAAAGCCCTAAAATTAGTATTTCCATTACCAGAGAAAAAACCCAGTACCTTCTGCTCGATTACATATACAGGCAAAATATCAACAAAAACTATGCATGATTTTATTATAATATTGTATTTTTGTAAAGGTATTTATTATTCACAATACTGTTTATTTTTATATGTATACCACCATTTAATAATTGATGGTGCATTTCTTTTACTTGTATTTCCCTTCAGATGCAAAAATCATCAGATTTATCCAAATTTATTTGTGTTGTTTAATATATTATTTTGTTTTATGAATGAATTTTATTTCTCGACTCATAACAAGTTTCCTGATATAACAATAACTAAATATAATAAACTGAATATTTGTTTATTATATTAAATTATTATTATACCTTCGTCCAGGAGAAAGATCAGGCTAGATTAGATTAGATTATGTGAGGTCGTTAAGGCCGTGCGGCCTCACCGCACTTCGACCTATACAGATCTTTTGTACATACCTTAATCTAGTTAAACTCTAGAATGCCAATACTTCTGATGAAGTTGATTAGCTTCCTAGGTGACTTGTTTCCTATGTCAGAGCACGCCAGACTCACCTCTCCTAGGGATTTTAGTCGTTTGCAGAACAGTGCTACGCAGTTGCATAGTATATGTTCTGCCGTTTCTTTTTCATTGTGACAGAAACGACAGTTCTCACTGTCTGATTTGCCCATCTTCTTGAGATGATATCTCAGAGGGCAGTGACCAATGAGAAGGCCAGTGACCATTTTAATATCTTTCTTACTCATTTCGAGAAGGCGGTTTGTTGCAGTAGGCGACACTTTTATCAGCCTTTTTGCTTGCCTTTGTCCTGGTGTGTTAGACCAATATGATCTTAGTTGATTGAGTTCCCAGGTACGGAGTTCCTCTCTGATGTGGCTTTTCGATAGTCCACAGAAGGGTTCCGGACCCTGGAATGGGGTATTAGCTCCTTCTTTTGCGAGGCTGTCAGCTTCCTCATTTCCTGCAATTCCCTTGTGACCTGGTACCCACATCACAGTTACATTGTTGCGTTCCGCCAGCTTCTTGAGAGATTGTTTACAGTCGCAAACCAACTTTGACTCACATGTAAATGACTTTAGAGCCTTTAAGGCGGCTTGGCTGTCTGATAAAATAAAGACTTTTGCCCTACGAGTGTCTCGGTTGAGACATTCTTGGGCACTTATGTCTATGGCATGTATTTCTGCCTGGAAGATAGTTGGGGCGTTTCCAAGAGATTTAGATAGCCTGAAATTGGGCCCAGTAACTCCCACTCCTGCCCTTTCATCTATCTTAGATCCATCCGTATACCATACGAGTGAACCCTCTTCCACTTTTGGCTCAATTTCTTCACCCATTTGGTGGCTTTTTATGACCACTTCAAAGGGTGTTTCAAAGTCGAATTTGACTG